AAGCGTAGCACGCATACTTTTTGCAGGATTTTTTGGAATTTTTTCCACATCTATAAACAAAATTCTTTTAGACGCACAAATAAAAGAATATAACACAAAAATAACAACACAAAATACATACGACGAAGAACATAACAATGTCGACCCACAGCCAACGGCACCACAATTACCACCCCTACCAAATAACCATCCACTATCCCTAGTCCCACGAAATTTTAGAAATTTAGCAATCACACATAATCCAAACTTTAGACTCACCACATCACAAAGTCCCGTCCAACATATAATGACACATCAATCACAAGATGATAATACTTACGAACAAATTATTGAACAACCACATACCACCGCTTTTCAATCTCAAAATAATAATTTTTTTAGCCCACGATGAGCCGCCAACTTGGATCACTCCATCGATCAAATTCCCATCCAACCAACCTTACCTCTTCAATCCCAATAATACCACTTTTTGCTTTTCCGCCACCCGATTTTCCATCTAGCAATGTAACATCAGGCATGAATTCCGACACTAACTCACAAATTTCAGTTTTATACTCCATTTCACAGCTAAATAACCCGAATATTGAAACCCCCGACGAATTTGCCGACTCAGAACCATCTCCATCCAATAATTTTCATAACCCTTCTAATTTTTCTCAACCTCCTTTTCAACCCATATTGTCCAATAACCCTGACCCAATCACTCCGACACCCTCTTATGCTTCCCAAGTTACCCCAACCTACTCCTCATACCATTCTGACCAATCATCTCCAGACACCCCCCGAATCTCCCCAGAGCTAGACAATTTTATTACCCTCCAACAACAACCCTACCACCTTAACACCCCGACCATAAACCAAATCTCCTCCACTACAACTTCATCCAATCCCCCTACACCCTCTTCAAATTATACTGAATCATTAGCACCATCATCCACATCAACTGAATCCTCACTCAACACTAATAGAGCTTACCGCACTTTTAAAAGAAAGTTCCCCAACCATCCTTTCCCAGCAAAACCAGGAACAGCCCGTGAATACATCAACCACCCCCAGCATACTAACACTAGAGAATTTTTAGCTATCACTTTACCCTCATTTCCACAATACACCTTAAACACCCCTCATGACGCTAACGAAACACGCAACTTTGTAGACGAATACGTTTTAATGCCCACTCTCTCTTGGACCTCATACTATCATTTCACTAACCCTCTTTGCTTACCTTTAACCAACACATCCATCGATATAGACCGAAACAAAGACATGCTATATCGACTAACTACACCACTCACCGCTAGACAATTTACTTACGTAGGATATAAAAAATCACTAAAAATACACACTGCACCTAGAGCTAATGAATATACACTAGAATACTACGATCACAACATCATCAGAGCTAACCAAGATCAATTCTTAGACGATGATCGCTTCGCTAACCCACAAATCACCGAGAAATTTTTCATCAAGACACCATATGTATTTACACTAAACATCTTCGACCGAAAGTTTGATCACATTATTTCAGAAGCACTAACAAGCACACAAGCGTACGAAAGTTTTAAAGAACGCTTCCAAATCTTTTCACTAACCTTTCATTTCCTTGCACCACACGAAAGAGATTTACACTGCTCACACGATATTATGTTGCGAACTAAACAAACACATACATACAGTTACTATCGTTTCATCCAAAATCACTTTGACCTCCACACACCCTCTAGACAACCACACCATCGCTTTCAATTCATCAATTCAAAATACACTTCACCGTATTTCCTAAATTTCACATATTGTATTAAAGATACTAACCTTCATGGTATTCTTCGTAACTATGACCCCATAACCCAAATGTACATTTTCTGCCCCATCACCAAGACCTTCAACGCCGAAGAATCCCGACCCTTCCTTATCCCGCACGAGTTTGTACAGCCTATAGAAATCCCCATTTTAGAATTCATCCACAACACTAAATTTAACCACAAATTATATAACTTAATCCAAAACACACCTTATGAGTTTGCAGTAGGCACTGAAGAACTAACCACTATTAAGGCACTTCAATTGCTTTGGCCACTGCTTCAAACTAAAAATATCATCCGCATCTTAGCTAAACTACTAACAACTTCAGAACTAATTCACGATATCTTCCCCCACGGTTTTTTCCCCGACGACTAACAGGTAAGTATGAATTAAATGAATATAACTAACTAATTAAAATATTAAAAAACTCACCATTCTTTATTCATGTTTTCTTTAGATTTTTAGCCTTCATCTTCGATCATCTGAAAAATTCACAAAAGAAAAATAAAAAATAGCAAACTTCTTCAAAACTGTTTAAGACCCTTTTAACTTTTGCACCAACAATTAAATAAATATAATACCAATGCAGTAAATTAATTTATAAAATTTTCCCCCAAAGCAATAAATCTACATATGATGAAAATTTGTATCTTAAAATTCCCCCATTACTAGCAGTAAATTTCCAAATTCTATGCAGTAAATTAATAAAATGCAATTGCAGTACTAACCTTTTGATATTTTCTTTCATTCGCACAGAAATTCTATCCACACTCGCACAGCTCGCCCACGAAGAATTGTTTAAAATAATGAATTTCAGTTTCACGTTTTCACACTCAACAACTCTAACATACAATAACATGTTTCAAACTTTCCTTTAACCCGGTTGGAAAGGAATCATATACTAAACAAAACTAACCAACGCAGCTTACTACAAACCACAAATCATAGAATAACAGCATGACTTAGAAAAGGAAACCAACGGTACCCAAACCGGATTAACCCAGTTTAAAACTGGATAATTTATTCTTTTGAAGACTATTACAAAGTCTTAGAAAGAAATAATAAAACACAAAAAAGTCGAAAGACAAACCCATACCACAAACAATTTGCTTTTTGGAAAAAGTACATAACCAACAAGACATAAGTAAAACCACAATAAACCCAACATAAAACGTTGTCACATAACAGGACCCCTCACAAACACCGCATGAAATCATACTCCCACTCCTGGCCTAACCCACCAGGAAAGGACGTCCTGAGCATGCTCTATAGCCGGCCTAACCCACCGCGCTACATCCACGCTTTGTGACCACACCTTTATTTTTAATAAGAGCTACTCAAGGGTGAGTAACTCTTCAAAATAACCAAACTAAAACAAAAAGCTTTTGTGAAAACAACTAACTAAAATCATTATTAAAAAATATTAAACTAATAAAAGTTTTATAAAATGTAAAATCACATGATGCAATATATAGATCAGAATACAACACCAAGGACGAACATCAAAAGACAAGACGACCTCACTACACTCGAGAGAGAATGACCAACTACAATCGATATGCCGCTCACAATCACAACTCAAAGGATTTAGAGTACGACTTGACTTCGCAGAAAAGGACTTCATTGAACTAGACCAATGACCACCTCGATGTTCAAGTATACGTACAGATCCGAGTAACCAGGCATCCCCTCCATGCACAATCTCCACGCCATTCCCGAGCTAGATCAAACACAAAAGAAGTTCTCTCCGAAGAACAGAAAAACCTGACATAGCCAACCATTCTGAAACCAGAATTGATGCTGTTGCAGAGACTCAGTCGTTGTCACAAGAAGAACACAACGTCTTGTGTCCTCAATTCCAGATCCCTGGAACTTCCTTAACAAAAAGGAAACAAAAGAAAAATGATGTTCGCCAAATACCAACGTCCATCATCCATCCTTGAACTACAGAAGAACTGTTCTAAAAAACTCTGTAAAACCCGGATGGGTGGAACCTGATCTAAACTATATTTTATGATTGGATAAATTAAATGTTTTACCAATGTAAAGTATTTAATATTAACCAATCATGATCCATCTAACTAACAACCCACTTATTTGTAAGTGCTGAAGTTACTTGTAATTTCAGCACCAGAGAGATTTGAATTTAACTTAGAAATTAGTTGGACTCTCCCGAGCACTTCAGCAGCCGCAATAAACCAGTATACCCTAGATCTATTGAGCCTAGCAGAGACTAGTTAAACAACCTGAGACTAGATAGTATAAGAGTAAGATTAGGATCGGTATTAGACTAAGAAGTTGCACGAATCTATCCGGCCGAAAATAAGATAGCGTGACGAGCAGACGGTGTACCCTATCCGAAATTACTCTATGAGTTATACACCCCAGTCATAACTCAAACTTCTGTGTTGCGAAGATCTGCTCAGATGTGATGCAAAACTTCGCAACAACTTCGATACAACGCAAGCATATCATTGCAAGCTGGCAATCAGAAGGGCAGAAATCACAGCCAAAAAATTAAAACTACAAAAAATTTCAGACGTTTGTCTCGACTGATGAGCAGTCGAGACAAACGTATATGAAATTTTTCGTAGATTTAAATATACTTTTCAATTTAGTGATTTTCACCCTTCTTCTGATCTCCAGCATACGATGCTATGCTTGCACTGGAGATTTCAAACACAGAGACGAGCGGAGCTTCCCACCACTTGCTATACCACACAAGCTTACCATTTCAAGCTATTAAACAAATAAAAAAATGGAAAACCCAACTACAGAATTTTCAGTCTGGAATAATGTTCTATTTGAGAAAAAACGTCTAAAAATAAAGTCTGAAATAAAATTTATTAAGTCTTCAAAAACATTTATCTGGCGGTAACTAAGCCACAAAGAGCCACATTAACTCCAGCTGAGCCGAAAGCAAAAAAAAAATGCCGTTATGAAAAACTTCAAATTTCTGAAATTCATAAGTTTTAACCTTTGTAAACAAAAGAATAAAAATATATTTTTCCTTCAATCAATGCAAAATTTGGTCACTAAGCTGATAAGTTACTAAGCTGGTGTTTAAGATAAGTTCTTTCGGTAAAAAAGCCTAATTCCCGATTACAAGCAAGTCACCTGTTCTCGCAAGTAAAATAAAACTTTAGAAATGTGCAGCTATCTATAATTTTTGAACTCAAAATAGCAAAACTTACTGTTATCGCAGCTTCGGTAGTCATGATACTCCTCAATCTCACCGCACCGTTTTCCTGAAACACAATAAAAAACAATTCGAAAACTGAAATAGGCAGTTACGTCAACTTTACGCTGCGTACATTTTCCAGTGTGTGTAGAAGAAATACCCGAGTGTCAATAAATCTTATTAGAAGGCTAAGTGCTTATAATTTTGAAAAACTCTTTTTTTTTCAAGCAAATCTTTGTTTTCATTAGTTATCGAAACTTTGCACATCAGTATTAGAACGTCCAAATTTGAACCTTGTGGGCAGACGCATTTTCCGAAATGGGTGATTGGCTCTTCAATGCAGTCCTCGCCTCTTTTGCACAACGTGTTGCTGCTACATCGCTTGTCTTCCTCGCAGTAAGTTCCGTTGAAGCCTAAGAGACAATTAATTTTGACCAACAATGAAAGATATGGAAAACAAGAATCTTCGATTGGTCTAACAGTTGTACAGAATGCTCCCTTATTTATCTAAGTTGAAAAATAAAACACGGAAAGCTGCACTTCGCAAACGCATTTCAAGGCTTTTTGATTTTTCAAGTCATATTTTTGATGCTTATTTTCGTATTTTCTTGCATTTTAAGGCTTTTTGTCGGTCTTTACATGAAAGAAAATACGAAATTGAAATAAGAATCAAAATTATGACTTGAAAAATCAAATTCATACACGGAAGATCAAGTTTATCGCCTTCCTCTTCTCAGTCGAATAAGTTTATGACTACACCAAATATTCAAAGAATTTCACTGAAGCTTTAGTAATAAATACCAGGCAGCATTAATTTTTTTTGATGCTGTGCTGAATCCTCAACTAAGTTCCTCTGAGAAAGCTAAAACCACTGGGAATATTGATCCAGGCAGGGTGACCAGTATCAATGAACGCAAGGAAATGGAATAAATACTGAAATACTACACTCTGTGTTTTTCTTTGAAAAAACTTTGACCCTCGAACTTCGCAAAAATAACTGGCCTTAAAGCTCGGAACCAGTCGGAACCATGCGATCGCATAGTCGGAACCATGCGATAGGGCTTTCCACACACTATCTGATCTACTCTCTCACAAAAAATTTGATGTGAAAAAAATATCCAGATCCTCTTTTCTCGACATTCACAAAAATTTACCAATTTTGGAATCTAAATTTAGAATTGAAAAGCATTCATCAGGGAGCTTAGGAAATTAGACGACAAGCAAATTAGACGACCGCAAAGAAACGGAATTCATGGACAACCAGTATTTACTCAGTCAAAATTTAATTTAAGTCTAAACAAAATTCACGCAATTTGCACGCAAGTTATTGTCTAAATTGGACAACCGGTATTTACTCAGCAAAAAGATAATTGAAGTCTGTAAACAAGTTTCTCGCAATTTGCACGCAAGTTATTGTCTCAATTCCGTTATTTTCTGATCGTCTAGTTTCCCTTTGTTTAAGTTCCTTAACCCCATTTATCAGATACCCTAATCGATTCTGTGCACAATTTTTAAGCAACTGAAATTGCAGGAAGAAAACCGCGAAACATCAAAATTGAGCGTGAACAAATTTTAAGATATAACTAACAAATATAACTGTCTTCACTACATTCAGTGACTCTTGATGATGAACTTAAAATTTAATCAAGTCAAATCGTAACAAAAAAGTTTTCCCGAAAATTTACACGACTTAAATATGAGCTGCGATAGTTTTCGTAAAGTTGCAGGGGTTTAAAGATTGCCAATTTGGACAATTAACGCGCGATATATTTCGTAAATATCCTTTTAAATTTAAACTCGTCTGGAAGAAAAACCACCCGAACCAGGGTTGCATAAAAATTTGATGTATATTCTCGATTGATTTAAATCTGATTTTTATTATTTTACCTTGATTTTTTCGATTTTTATTGGGAACATTCTTGTTTCAAGAATCAATTAATTTACACAAAACTGCTGATTCAGCATCCGAAAGAAGAACCCAAGTTACCCGTATTTTTCTATTCCCAGTAAATTTCTGAGACTGGAATGGATAAATCCGAAAGTGCTGAAAAAATTTTCCAGTTAGAAGTATGCTATGAAGAGCGAAGTACGTAACCAATGTAAATACTGCAAGCTGGGTTGTATGTTTACCGTGGCACTCGGCAGGATAACACAAGGGTTGATTTTTTTGATTTTTATTCTACGATTAAAATCCGACTTAAATCATTGAATTAAATCAAGTTGATTTTAATCATGCAACCCTGACCCGAGCACCAATATTCCGTCACTTTCTTCGAAGGTCGGAACAACAAAAGGTATATATTTTCTAGGCATGCAATTTACCTGGTTCGCAAACACATTTTCCCAATTCCATGGTGTCTCTGGAGTCTCCAGTATTTTCCAGATCCATTTTATTAATGCATTTTCCACCATTTTGGCACGGAACGTCCGCGCAAACATCCCAAAACCTGTGACAGTACCTTCCCGCATACAATCCAGTACAAAGGCACTCCCAAGACCCTTCAGTGTTCACACACTTGTTTCCTTCTTCAATACACTCTAAAATCAGATCACATGCCAGTAATTAATAAGAGTTTGAAAACAAATTAGTCAAATCAATTCAGACGAACACGTGACAGAGTGAACTTAATTCACAATCACACTTGAAATAAATAAAGAAAAAACTGAAACTGAATTAAGAACTCAATACAAATGTAACTGAAATTGGCTTTTTCCTTCCCCCTCACCTCACGCAAACATGAATTTTATAGTCTAACGAGTGGTTTTACAAGGTTAATTATGAAGACCAAATATGTTTGTTATGGCCTAATCAGTCTGCATGTCAATTTTCAAGACAATCGGACAAAGTGAACAGTAATTTCAAATTGAAAAATTTGCAGGTGTGGGGGGGGGGAAGGAAAAAGAGCCCCGAAGTTCATTAATTATTAATTAGTTAATTAATTCAAATGGTCCCAATTTGAATATAGCAGACATATATCATCTGCCGAATTGAAATTGTTAATTTTTTTAGATTTTTTTTTCGAAAATCCTCCCCTTTGAGAAAATACTAGATCTGCCCTTAGATACATATATTGAGAAATTTAATTAAATTATTCTCTAAAAATGCAATCGAAATAGAGTTTCTGAAAATCGAAATAGGGTGGGGGGGTAGTGAACAAGATCCAGTATCTATAAAAAATGGATCTCATTAAAACAACAATACCCTTCTTGTCTAGCGAATTGAGGGAAGTCGGTACTAGGTTGAATACTCTTCAATGCTTAGCCATTGATTAAATTCATTATAGCTGTGGATTTTCGTTACTAAATATCACAAAGGGCAGGGGCGGACTTAAGATTTTCTCTCGCGGGGCTGGGCGGTTTTTCAAAACTTTTTGTAGACTTTTCATTTAGGCCGGCCAAATCGATTTTTGGAAAGCTCCGACAACAATATCAAGACCCTATTTTGACACGCTGACAAATTTGTTTAAAAAACAAATCCCCCTCCCCCCAAAATTAACAATGGGGATGGTAGGGTTGGGGATCTTTACAAAAATCAAACAGTTAAACATTCAATTATTGATCCATTTAGCTCAATATTATCCATTGGAACAGTTCTGCGGTCAGTAGTAAGCCAGTAGTTTCAAGTAATAAAAATCAACTCAAATCAAAAGCCTGCACTCTTCGATTACACATCATCCTTACGGTTAATAGTTCTATTTGTTTCTATGGCCTGCCGACACGCTACGTATACCGAGTACGTGTCGTAGTCTCCGTAGTCGAACTCGAAATTCAGACATAAGGCCCTCCAGTTGAAGGTCATGTTTAACCACTTGTGCGTGTTGTCGGGTGACTCAAGGTCAAACTGGTCGTAGAATGAGTCACGCAACACAGGCTGGTAAAATTCTGTTCGCGCCACAAAATGGGTTATCATCACTGCTTTTATTGGGCTTACAGATTTTTTCAACATATTAGCTTGAAACCTTATCCTCAAATGCTTGAAAAAACGTCACTTCAAACAATTGAACAACGTACATACTAAGCACAAGCTCTAAGAAACAGCTGAGGGTCTCCGAATCTCTTTAACTATATCCCCACTTTGTAAAAGGGGAAGATTCGTTACTAGGTTCAAAAACTCATATGCTTAACCATTCAATTATTTCTTTATAGGGGAAGGGAAAGATTCGTTACTAGGTGCCATAGGTGTGGGGTAGGGGGTGGGTGGGGAGATTAGTTAAAGAGATCCGGGTCCCCAAACAGCATTGCGTGTCTCTTTTGAAAAAATTTAAACTCAAATTTAAAAACTCACACCATTTACACCATTCCAAACCTCTTGCCGGCCGAATTTCTGAGCATGTAAATAATACACTTACGTGCTTTTGGTTTTTTATTTAGTCTCATATGGCCTGATTGATTATAAGAAATTAGAACATTTTTTCCACTGAATTTTAACAGAGCTATAAAATAAGCAGGTGAAAAGCAATTCATGAAGCTCACATAAAATTTTATGGCGACAGACAATGCCAACAAAACAAAACAATTTTATAAACTTTTGTCAGTACATATTTAGAATTTGAAAACTATTAAACTAATGGATTCCAAAGGGCACTTAGGATGAAAAGAAAATTTCTGTACACTTGCTTGTTTTCGAATCCTTGCACATTTTTTGCTCTGGTTTACTTTTACAATGATTTACATGAAGCAATGATCTCAGCAATTTGATGTCAATTCTGATCACAAAATACGCATTAAAATTGAATATATGCACCATTTTACTTAAAAAGCATCAAACTCACTTTTTGCAAACATGTATTCTTCACATTCGTTCACGTCTTGTTCACACCTTTCTCCTTTATATCCAGTGTTCATGCATTCGCATCGAAAGGAGGTGAAGTCATTGGTGTGAAAGCACATTCCCTTATGTTCACACACTGGCTCGTGCGTTTCCGGGTTCACACAGGGGTTCGGGAGATCACAGTTGTGACCTGTTAAAATTTCAATATGCTGGAAAAGTTCCAATGAAGTAAAAAAAAGCAATGAAATACTTTTCCTTGAGAAAAAAAAATTAATTTCGAGGTTCAAAGAACAAATAGCTCACCTTAAAGGGCTGAAACTCAAAATTACGTGTTGAAATGAAAAAAAAAGCGAATTTCTTCTGATGTTCCAATGAGCAGTTCTTGGTTAATGAATTTGATCAAATTCGTCAACAGAAATAAACAACAACTAATTCTACTGAATAAACATCAGGAATAGAGCTCGGTGCTTACCAATGAACAGATCCAGTCCAGTGGTTTCATTCTTTGGACAGGTGCAGCTGTACTTCATGGGACCCTCGTCGACACAAACTCCACCCGAGTTGCATGGGTCGGGGGAGCAGTCATCAAGGTCTATCTGACACACACTCCCTTGATAGCCTGCAACTCACAACAAAAACTCAAATGGGAGACGAATTCAAAGAAACAGGTGAATTCAACGAAACTGCTGAGAATTATTTATCGCCTTGCAAAAAAGGTGTGAACGGAACATTTTTTTCATCACTAATTAATCTTAACGTCGAAGCAAGAAGCCGATGGATAAACAATTTAATGGGAATTTTTAGCTATCACTCAGCAAAAAGCGTGATCGAAACAATCTGTTCTGTACAAATTGAAGAGAGTGCAGAACAGAATTTGCGCCTACAGAATGTTCCGATTACGTTTTTTGGTATAACTTCTAAAATTCTCAATTTCTTTGTATCCATCGGCTTCCGAAATGTTAAAAAGATGCTAAACTGCTAAAAGCAGCAGCAACATGACATCTAATAAACAGTAAATCCAAAATTAATGGAAAGTAAAGTGTTCTAATGTGAAATTAACAAACCCGTCATGCATTGGCAATCGAATCCATTTTTGATATTCTGACACGTCGCTCCATTAGTGCACATAGGTTCGCCTATTTCTAACGAGCATTCGTCTACGTCTTGCTCACAAAACGCACCTGAAAAAGTAAATAAGTTCCACTAAGGTGAAAAGTGAGTTCTTTTATGCTTTTCGATGGTGAGGTGCTGATTTAATAGTCCTGATTTGAATTATGCAAAAAATACCTGATTAACGTTAGAAAAAAGCAAAGAAGGCACGTTCCTTGATTTTTGAAAACAATCGCAGCATTCTGATCCAAAACCTTGCCCTGAAGTAGTTTTGATTTAATTTGGTTGATCAGAACTTACGAAAATCAGCTAGGACAATTTTTGGGCACATTAAATCATCATAACCGCCTAATATTAAATTAAAATATTAACGTCTGAAAATGTCTCAACTACTTTTAAAGTAGTTTAGAAATGTTATTAACTAATTTCAACACAAAACTAGGAAAGCCGGTTCCTGTGAACAGAATATTCCGATATTTTTTTTCAAACTAGTGTCGTATTTTCTGCGTGGTGTGCTAAAATAATCTAAGCGAAAAACTGGAACTTAGGAACATTCGTCAGTCATAGTAAAATAAGCAAATTGAACAACAGTCTTTGTAGAAAAATGACAAAAAAAAATTTTTTTGTTTTTTTTGCAGTACTCTTTTGAATTTTTAAGTCCCAAAAAACTGCAAAAAAAACTTTACTCAAGTAAAACTAAGTTTTCTTGCGGCCTAAATAACGCATAATTAAGCTATTCTAAGCCTGCTCGTCGCTCGCATCATTCGCTCCAGTTAAGAAAAAAACAAAAACTTCAAACCTCGTTACTGGAAGAACTCATCGGATTTTTTAAAGTTTCGATCAAATCACGACTGAAAGAAATTAACAATAATATATCACTCAAACCATTCTCATGAATATTTGCGTAACTGATTTTGCGTTAAAAACAAAAGAAGAACACACTAAAACACCCAAATACAAAGCCTCAACCCCATTTTTCAAAGGGTCGACACAACAACCGAAACAAGGATAGTCGGTTGCTGGGAAAATAGCACAGAATGTTACGGTCACAATAATTTTTCCAAACTGTTTAAAAAATCAAGGATAGCCGGTTGCTGTGCAAGTCGAACACGGTTTCGACCACAATAACAAAAAATTGAATTCAAAATTGCGAATAAAACACGAAATCAATTGGTTTTGTTTCTTATTCGCAGTGTGAAGAGAGGATCTGAACAAAACCCTAGATCTTAGGCACTCCGATGATTAATAGTGGTGGCTGATTTTGCGTAAATCACAAAAAGAATAAGAAAACAAGGATAGGCGGTTACTTTGTAAGTAGCACAGAATGTTCCGACCATAGTCTTAAAAAACAAAACAACGTTTTTTCAAATTATTGTCCTTTTTTGGCGTGGTGTGATCAAAAGAGCTGAACAAAAAATCTGGGAATTAGACCATACTCATTAAGCAAATTTAAAAACAATTTTTCTAGAAAAAATACTAGAAAGCAAGAAAAAAAAACAGAAAAAAATTTTCAAAATTTTCCAAGTGTTTGTAGTTTACTGAATTTTTGAAAATGTTGATTCAAAAAGGCGCTAGAATACTCAAATACTAACTTAACCCAATTAAAACTAAGTTTTTACGTTAAATTAAGCTATTGTAAGCTTTTAAGCATTTAAAATAAGACTGCTCGCTCGAAATAAGACTAAAAATCAAAAACTTCAAACCGGTTTTTCTTGACACTGGCAAGTTTTTTTGGAAATTTTTTAATGTGGTTCAAATCGCGACTGAAAGGGCTTTAATATGATATATCACTCAATCCAGTCCGATCATTTTTTTGTAGTACCAGATTTTGCGTGGAAAACAAAAAAAATAAAACACCCGAATACCAAGTTCTTCCACATTTTCACTGGTCGGAGCAATAACTAAAACACACCCCAATACCAAGTTTCTCCCATTTTCAATAGTCGGAAAAAATATTGATAGTTTGTTAGGTCGTGTTTGATCAACGCGTATTATAACTAACGAAGTCCTCTGATTCTTAAGCTATCGCCATGGCCTTTACGCTACTCTACTTTATTCGGTGGGCATAAAACGGCATAAACTACAATAGCATTAAAAATTATACAATAATTAAATTTATTGTGTTATCGAGCCAAAAAATATATATTGCCGAGAAGTCGAAAAATTACCGGTGAATTGTACTAACCATGAGAAAACACGACCAAAACAACAAAGTCATGCAGTATTGGCAAGTCATTGTCAAGTAGCGTCCGCTTGCTCCACTGAGTTTAGATTGGGCACGAGTTATATAAAGCGCGTAAATCAGAGTTTGCAGCGATTTAGTCGTTCGGCTATTCCAATGCGCGGCTGTTTGGAACTTACATAATTTAGAGTATGTTGCTATTTTTGGTTGAGAATCACGCAAACATGAGTCTCATATATTTAAGGCAGTTTTATCTTATGCCGTTTTTACGGCCCCCACTTTTTTCTCAATTATCGGACAGCAAAGAATAGCTCTGATAATGCGGATATAATTAGACAACGCTGTTTAGTTGACGTATAAACTGAGCGCTAAAACGTGCGACCTCTGGTGTAAAAAAAGCTGGACTGACCGAACAAAATTACGGATTTGGATTTTTTTTAAATACTCGAATTTTAGGTCTCTCAACAAACAATGGTACAAGTGTGATAGAGGGGTCCCTTTATTTTGGAAAGGTAGCCGAAAATGAAATTGCAGACTTCTTAGATTGCAGTTTGTGCCCCTCCACCCTAATTCCTCCGGTACAGTATATACCAGTATACCACCCCCAATCCACTAGAAGATTCTGCTCACCTGTGTATTCCTTGGGACAGGAGCACTTGGCACTTCCGTCCGAGGGGTCCAGTCCACATACTCCCCCATTTTGACACAAATGGTGCCCTCCACTGCCCCGGCAGTCGAACGGAGCAAATTGTTCACAGAAGTCGCCCTCAAAACCTAAAATCGTTTCATTCTCTTGATTTCTAAAAAACATTTTCCTTTTGTTTCAATTAGTTTCTTTTTCTGCAACTGAGTGTTTAAATCTCTGCAACTGAGATTTAAATTAAATGGAAAAAATTGCACAGAAAAAATTTTTTAGCCCAGCCAAACTCAATATCTCACGCAACTTTTTGTAAATAGTTTGGCACAACTTAGGCAGTATACCGTTTCAGTTTGAGCCTGCAACCGTTTTTTTTTGTTAAGAGATCCTTGACCTCTTTTTATAGCTGAAACATTTTCAACAAAGAAGTATTGTTGATTTGACCAATTTATGTACGATTTTCAATACGGAATTGAAATACAATTCTATTACATTTGGGTAAATCTAAGAAACGAATCATAGGAGAAACGAACTTAAAGATAATTTCCGCTGAGAGCTAAAGCTGTTTAACCATCCCGCAGCGGTACGACTCATTTCACGTGAACAAACCCAAACATAGAAAAACTACACCCGTCAATCATTGCATTTTATTCGAGTCATTTTAGTCCTGCAGTCCTGCGTTACATAAAAGTTCGAGTCATTTTGAGTTCAATCAAGCGCGGTTCGATCCCAAACGTAGCCCGCTTTTGTTTACTTGTTTACATTTGGTGAGATCGGAGTAGAAACATGGATTGAGCTCCATTTGAACAGGATTGAGGGGGGTTGATATAATCGCTCGGGGCAATTATTTGATTTCATTTCTCACACTAAAATTACACTTGATGCGGCGAGGCGAGACTTCAAGCGCTTCTAAACAACCCTCGATCGTTGGAACTCAAACGGCAGAAGGATCAGTTGGAAGAAAATGATCTGTTCAGCTTCCTTCGTTTCATCAAGATTTACAGACTAAGTTTCTTTTTCAGATCCTCAGTTGTTAAAGATTTTTTGAGCTTTTTCATTTGAACAAGGTGATTATAATCGCTGAGCCTCTCTTTTTACATTTCTGAAAAAGGTCCTCTGCTACAAAAAATTTACTTTCTAGATATCTAGAGGAGCACAAAATGTAAACAGAACAAAAAGAACGAAACAAGGCTATTAACTTAAAGTCTAGCTGAATGTAGTTAGCAATTGCTTCGGCTGAACGGAAACTCGGCTAAATAATCCATATTCAGAAGTATCTTGGCTGTGTAATAACAGTAGTCAGCTACTATTCGCGTAGAATATGCTTCTAGGTGGTATCTTGGTATGCGTTTGTTCAAAACAAAACAAGACGGCCACGTTTTTAGCCCCCGGAAAAAGAAGTCCATAACGATACCCAAAACCCAAGTTCTAAGGACAATTACATCGCCGCAAACTAATGTCATAGCTTGTTTGGTGTGCAATGGTTATTATTTCAATGAATGGGTGTTAAGTTATGTTTTCTCAAATCTGTCGGACAATTAACAAAACTAAACTTTGTCTGAGAAAACACAACAAGTTACCATATAACCATAATGAAATGGTACACTTTTTCAAATCTAATAGAAATATCGTTTGAATTCCATTTTCTCAGCATATTTTCTCATCCTTGGAAATAGTATGGTTAAGGTGCTTGCGCTCTGCTTTTAAATGCTTCTAGATTTTAGCGGTCTTTCAAGTTCATTATAGTTCATTGAAATCGGATCAAGTGAGCGATCTGGCCCTTAATAGTTTTCGCTCGTTCACTAGGCTGGCAGCATTTTTTGCCAATAATTAGACTTTGGAACTTCCATATTCAGTTCCTGCTTACATTTTCCATTTACTTTTAGAGGGGGGGATCGTTCACTAGGTTTTTTGGGTGGGTCATGGGGGTATTCGTGATTCGTTTCAACTACACTTGCATTTTTTTCCAGTGGAAAAGGAGAGCTTTAATAGAGTACCCACGATCCAGCCATTACCAAACACATTAAGGATTTATAAAAGAACATTTGACAAAGTTAAACCATGCGAAGGATTCATTTGTGAAAAACGGAGAACTATCGATGAAATAATGATTTCGGCCCGTGTAAACAATCTCCCCTTGAATATACCAAGTGAACAATCTCCACCCTGACAAATTCAAAGAGTAAAGCCTGCATGTACAATGCTCAAGTCTGAATATTACTTTCAACCAGGTAAACGATCTCCTCCCTAAATTGAAAAAGGGGGAGATTGTTCACTTGGTCCATGATTTCTAGCAATTTGATTTCGCTAAGCTTAAGAAATGGCTCTTTTCCAGTACCCCCCTTTCATTTTTTTACATGCAAAGTGCCGTGTGAACAATTTTTGAGCCGCCTAATTTTGTAAGTTTACCAGGGGGTAAATGTCAGCCAATATATACTAACTTTGAGGGGGAGCGCGCGCCAAAAAAACGCGATTTTTTGGTCAAAATTATTCAAAAAGTGCCCAAAAACGGCTTTTTTGACTGTTTTTTCAAAAATTTGCCTGCGGCGCACTAAATTTAGCCAATATAGGGGCAAAACAGAACTTTGGAAGAGCTCGAAAAATCAATTTGGTCAACCTAAAAAAAAAAAAAAAAGGTCGTCAAAATTTTGGAAAATTTTTTGAAAATCCGCCCCCCCCTCGAGAAAATCCTAGATCCGCCCCTGAGGGGGTGGGAAACTGGAAAAGAGCCTAAGAAATTACAACAAGACTGCTCGTATCAGGGCAAAGTCCTGAATGTTCCGACTGTCTTTTAAGGTATATGGAGCAGTAAAAACATGAAAAAATGTTTTAAAAAAATGAATTTTTTTTTCAAAATTGAGATTTTTTGTGAAATTCATCCCCCCACACGCCATATTAAGTACAAAGTGATAGATATCGCTCCTTGTAACCAATAAATTATGACAAATAAGCTTCCTTGAACTAATTTGGAACGATTTCTACAACGGATCAAATCTCCGCTTACTCGTTAATTGCGCAAAATTTATCGCGCGTTAATTGTCTCAAATTGGCCAAAATGGCAACCTTAAAACCCTCATAACTTTACGAAAAATGATCACAGGGGAAGTATCTTTTCAAATTTAAGCTCAAGACAACAATAGTTTTCGAATGATATAAAAAAATTCCGTCAAAAATGGTTAGTTAAAAAGTCGAAATTTGTCTGAAGAAAAAACCCAACCCGAGCACAAATATTCCGTTACTTTCGTATCGAAAGTCGGAACAACAACAAGGCTCCCCTTCATTGCTTTCTTGTGACTGAGAGGAGAATGAAAAACAAAAAAACTCGTCCTAAAATCGGCCCATGTATCTTTCAAATCCCACCCCCCCCCCCACCAAAAAAAAACAAACAAATAAAAGAGAAGTAATAAAATGGCAAAAAACTCCCCACCCCAAAACCAATTTAGGGAAGTATAATCGCTCGAATGCTCCCAAATCGTTTTTTTTAAAGAATCAGCTAAAACTCTGGAACTTGCATCATTACAGTTGTACGTCGAATATTTTTTATATTATAATGAAAAAGGTCTAAATCACTAGAAAATTTCCCCGCTGTGACGACTAAGCCAACAAAACATAAAATACCCAACACTAGATAGACATTATTGTTGAGTTGTTAATGCCAGGCAGTTTTTGGATTATTGTCTTTTGAGAAATCGAGTTTTCTTTGAATTTGAAGAGCTCCTTAAAACTTCATAATTATGATGGTTTTTTAAGCGTTTCGACGGTGTTGGCAAACATTTATAATACTTTACAACCATGAAATGAAACTGAGTCGACATCTGAAACTCCCAAGAGTAAATATCAACCTGAAACACTTTCTCTCATCTTAGTTTTGGGCCATTAATCTCTTCGTGTTTATATTTATCCTTCCAAACTGAAATTGCCTGTAAGTGCATTCACAGCCCAGGCCGAACATTTGCTTTCTCTTCAGGGCAAATTTGTTCATATCAACTTATGAAAACATCTCCCAAGATAAGTTTGAATAAGGAGTCTCCAAGTCAAAACTATAAAGAAACAGCTGCAGCTTTCTTAATCATCACTATAAATTATCCCACACCACGCTAATCTTCAATTAAACCTGATTTTAAAACAACACCGGTAGACGAACAAAGTCCTAAAATCCTAAGTGTCCCACACAAATTATAGATGGTTTAAATAAAAAACATGCTGCTTCAAAAACGTTTTGTGAAACAGAAGTTAAGTTTTACCTCATTACTTGAAGAAAATAACTCCATTTTAGTGCAAATTAGAAAAGCATTCAGGGTTGCGGGAGAGCGCTTTAAAATCCACATAAGTTCAAACGTTCGAAAACTCCAAGGTGGCCTCTTAAGTGTTTTAATTTGATTAAAAAAAAAGGTTTTAAACATTTAAATTTCTTCGAAAATAAGTATAAAATCAAAATGTTGAATATTTTTGGCTATTCGTCTAATGCTGTCAAATAGAAGCCAAGTTTTGACATATTTTTGTCCCTATCGGTGTGAACGAATTTCATCAACGAAAAACTCGGGAAAAGAGCCTTAAGTTTAAAGGTCAGCCAAATTGATTTTAATAACACCTGTTGGTTTAAAAGTTCTTAGCAAGTTGTGAATCTTATTAAAACGAGGAGTATATAAAGCAAAAGGAGGCCGAAAAGTATATGTAAAACATCAAAAAAATATATTGAAAAAGAACAAGTGTTTTAAAACCCTTTTAAATTGTTTTAAAACACCCTAGTTTTAACATCGCCACACTGGAAAACTCCCTTTTGAAAATACTTTACCCTTTTTCAATGTTCAGAATAAAGTGCGCAATATGTATGGAAAGTATGTGCGCAAATGAGCATCCATCCTTACCAGGTTTGCAGTCACATTTCTGTTCATGCTCTCCCGTGACAGTGCACTGAGCCCCATTTCTGCACAGATGTGTTTTGCAGGGTCTGAACTGCTCCTCGCAAAACTGACCAAACCAGCCTGTCTCGCACTCACACCTGGACAAAAGATAAACATGTGTTAAAGACATAAGAGTGAAGCAAACCTGAGCCAACAAGCCAAGTGTGCACGAAACGCAAGCTCAAACCTATTAAACAATTGTTTATCAAAAAACTCGAAAAATCGAGACAAGTCTCGAAGACAAAATTACATGACCACATAGCTTTTATAAACACTAGTCACCAACTTTTTCCGTTACAGAGCGATTTACATTTAAAAACGAAAACTCTTCCGAATTGCTTTCAATAAGGATTATGGTCGTACAGCAAATCAAACTTGAAACGCAGAACTGTATCATAGGTTAAGCATAAACAAGACTGCTCGTATCAGGACAACGCCCTAAATTTTCTGACTGTTCATAAACTGGTCTCGAATAGTTTTTGGTTCATAAAATATTGACAAAATATGAATTTTTAGCTGAATATTAAGAATCGTGTTTGGAATTAATAAGACCAATTAACCTGCCTCAATTGAATTTGGAACGATTTTGTGGTGGTCACGTTAGCCTATTACTGAGGGTTTCGCAGGTTCTTTAAATCAGGATAGTTTAGTGGTGAGAGCGACCCTTCTGGAACCACGATGATGCAAGGATCGATTCCCAGAGGAAATAATTTGAGAACTAGTCGGAACAACTGTGAGCCATCTATTTTGTATACGTGATCTACTTTAATTTTGCAGCCCTAGATAATTGAAAAACACTATTTGAATCAGGTTAACATCCTCCCCGACCCCCCCCCCCCCCCCCACAATAGACCAGGCTAAGATCCTCCACCCCAAATGCACCGTTAAAATCCTCCACCCTAGCGTTCAACTCAAATTAAATTTGCTAAGCGCTCTAAAATGCTTTTTTTTCTTTTTTTGATTGACTGAAAATTCGAACTCCGAACTTAGTTAACATCCTTCCCTCTAAGCGGCTTTGGGGTCGAGGATGTGAAATTGGTCTTAAGTTTTCATGGGACCTATCTTTGACCAGACCAACGTGAAATTATTGATACACAATTGACTGACAAGCATATGCGCTTAATCTAGAGTTGAGCTTCACTAATTTAGATAATTAGCTCACGTTTTGTCAAAAAAACTATCGTTTTCAAAATCAGAAAAATTTTCTAAGTGAAATAGTCGCCAATATTGACTCACGCACAATCTATCAGGGTTTCTTGCTCCTGATAATGCCACAATCGAAGTTAGCATTCTGATTTGTTATTTGTTTTTAGTCTGGTAAAAAATTGGTCTGCTAAAAACCAGTCTGCTAAAAAACCTAGCACCTAGTTTTATCAACCATTGGTTCAGTTCAGCAAAATATCAGAGAAAATGTTACTTTTCACTTTCATTTCTACCCTGTGATAGAACTATACGCTTCTCTGAAATCTGCTCTATATTCTTACCATATTATTTTGATACCAAACGGATATGGCACTTAATTAACCTATGGGAGGCTTGGGGCAAAAAATAGGGTTTCAATCAGGGAATAAACTCGTTTTTGCTATTTTCAAGTAAAAATGATATCTTTACTGCAAAAAATATTAAAGCGTAAATGTACACAATCAGATCCATAACTGGAACTTTCGACTAAAATCTATCAATGAATTTACAACTGAAATAACGTTAATACGAAATATCACTAATATTAACAAATTTTTGTTAAATGTTTTTTGTGGTACCTAATTTTGCGAGGAAAAAATAGTCAACAAATGTTTTTGAAGTACCTAATTTAGCGAGGAAAAAATAGTTAACAAATATTTTTTGAGGTACCTAATTTAGCGAGGAAAAAATAGTTAACAAAGGTTTTTTGAGGTACCTAATTTAGCGAGGAAAAAATAGTTAACAAATGTTTTTGTGGTACATAATTTTGCAAGGACAAAACTTAATATCCGCCAGAAGAAAACTTTACTTCCTACTTCGTAGTCGGAATAATGAAAACATACATATTTAGAAAAGAAAAATACTAAGCTTTAGTTATTTATGTTCACGTAACTCGACATCCAGATAATTAATTCTGGTTCACTCGATACAATATAGATTTAATTTACCAATAGTATTTTTTAAACGCAATTTTTTGACAACTTATATGTTACAAGGGCTATTCCCAATTTTTTTTGAATATATATTTTTGCGCTCTTCATCTTAAAAAAGTGAATTCAGTCTGAGCCTAGTCAATACTAGTAATTTTCTAAGAACGGATTAGTAGCGAAAACAATTGGTGGCTGTATATTCGTAATAAATAAACTGTTTTTTTTGGTCATGACTTAGAAATTGCTCAAAATGCCATTATTCATTTGAAAAAATTGCCTTCAATGCTGAAAATCTTGTTTCACACAGATGCGAATTTGCACTTCGCAAACACAAGCAAACATGACCAATAACGCTACTGGGAAAAACTGAATGAGTAAAAATTTGAAAAGTGACGCACGCCAATTATGAGTCTACATAATTGTAAAGTGACGCATTAGCAATACCAGTCAATTTGAAAAAAAAATACCAACTAACATGCCTCAATTTATAGAGCGGACGCATTTTAGCTAGTATACGAAAAAGCTCATTAAAAACATTCGACCCTGACCAGGTTCGAACCCCCTGCAGATCCATGATACCTTGAAGCTAAAATGCTATTTAAAATAAATTAGTCTGTGGTAATATCCTAAGCATTGGCTGTACGTAACAACTGGTTATTGATCAAAATGAACAATATTTGCGAATTAGGTTGGAAAAAAAAGAGAGTTCATACTATAACACAAGCGTTGCTTGTGTAAATAAACTTTTGTTATACGCCACCGTTTTCATAACGATTATTATCACATAGCTGCTATAATATTACGTTATAACATAGAAATGTCATAGGACATAATTTCAATACATAAAATTGAAACCAACCTCCAAGTTTTATCGCTGGAGTCACTTTTGCAGCTGCCGTGTCCGCCGCAAATGTCGAAATGTTGTTCACAGACATCCAGTTTCTTTTCACATTTTGCTCCTTTGAATCCATCTTCGCATGTACATTTAGCTTGTCCTCTTTCCTCGTAACAAACGCCTGAGTTGTTACAGGATTCTTTTGTACAGACATCTTCAACAGAAACGATCTTGTCGCAAAGTTTTCCTATCGTTCCTGGAAAACATATACATTTGGGTGATCCATCTGAAAGCTGGTAGCATCTTTCAACATGGTTGCATTGGTTTTTCTGTGATTCAGTACACGGATTGAAGCTTTCACAATGGTCGCCGAAAGTTCCGTCGTTGCAAGTGCATTCTGGGTAAGCGGCTAAAGTATAGCCGGTGACTTCTAGGGAGGGTGGGTAGGACGTTGATTCGTCGGGGATGTTAACGAGAACCATTTGACATGCTGCCTGATGGTGACAGTAGGACTTGTTGCGATAGCAGCTGTCCTCGAATTGACACAAAGGTCCAAAGAAACCGGCCGAACATCTAAAAATTTCAAAGTCATTTTTCAAACTCAATTGAATCTTTATTACATCAGATTTAAAAAATGTAATGTAATTTTCTGTGAACGCGCTTGCGATTCAAAAAAATTTCACAGACGAATTATTTAGATGGTTGATTAACCCTAACTTTTATTGATAAGAACGGTCAAAAAATTAACGGTCAAAATCCATTCAAATATTATTACAGTAGAAAAACCCTTAATTTTTCGTTAGACTTATTTTTAATTTCTGTTGGAAAATATTCAAAAGTGACTCCATTTGCCAATGTTCCTACCCTACAGAAGAATGTTGAAGTTCATTATCCGACCGGACGGAACGTATTCTTAATTTACAGGCCGACGCCTCCTCAATTATAACCGGAAACGCCCCTTAAATTGCTCTGATTGAATCGATTAATCCATCGGAAATATGTGGCTTTTCCTCTATTTCTGCATAATTGATGAACATTATTATGTTCACTAATTTCACGCTATTTAGCTGACTTTTTAAGTTCGTAGTTTAACAACACACAAGAAGAGTCAAGAATCCGCCCGCGGTCCGTCCCTTGCAAGACTTTTTTATACTTGTCGCTGTCATTTATTTCTCTGGTAAATAACTCAAACTTTTGTTAAGTAATTTCCCCTAGGGGGACCAAAACAATTACTTGGTTTGTGTGGGTTTCTAATCAAAGTAAACAAAATTGTTGTTAGTGAGAATTAACTTGATTAAATATTAACGAGATTAGTCTGTAAAGCACAAATCGAGCTTCGAAAAAATTGTTTTGATACAATTAACTTTTTAAAAAACAGACCCAATGGCTAGGCTACAAAACAAGTGTTGACCTGCTTGATCGAAACTAAAAATCAGCTCAGAGGCCAGAGCTACAGTCAAGAAATCAACTGCACATGTTATTGCATTCATGTCGCAAGAAAGTCAGTATCTCGGTTTTGGTGCAAGTAGCTTAGAAAAAGCACAGTTTTAAAAATAGAAACAACAAAAGACGGTTGCTGTGCAAATTTTACAGAATGATGCGACCATATTAATATCTTTGTAAAAAACAATTCAAAACAAAAAAAAATCGGAAAGTTTTATTTTCGGATTTTGTTAGGGTAGGGGAGGGGAGGGGGCGTTTCTAAAAACTCTAGGTGCTAGTTACGTGCATCTCTGACTAGCAAGGATATTAAGTTGCCGTGGGCATAGAAACTCTCCCGACCCTGATGGATGAAATAAAACCTTTTTTCACATCATTTTCGAAATTTTCCATATTTTCTGTTGATTTTATTCACTAGAAAACATCCAACGAGAAATAATTATAACTGAAATTTAAAAAAAATCAGCTAAACCAAATTGGGCGCCATCAAAAATTAGCTTACCTTATCAAAGTTCACGAAATTTGGTCAGCAAATAGGAAAATCTCGGAACATGAAACTCATAGGGTACTTAATATGATATCAAAATTGAGCAAAAGCAAAAAAGAAACGTGGTTTGAAAATTAAGATTTTCTTGTTAGTCAGCTTTTTATAAATTCCTTAAATCGCTGTAAAATATATGCCGTTAATTGAACCAAAACAGGTCTAAAACTGATAGAAAACAAAAAAAACTACATACACTTGTTTCATTTCAACCTGCGAAACTTAAAAATTTCAATAAGGGCGGATCTAGGATTTTATCATACATGAAGTTTTTGACTCAAAACAAATTTTTTGGCCATCTAAGCCTAGCTTATCACCCGAATATTATAAGAAGCATTTTAACTGTGATAGAAAATTTGAACTGTGTTTGAAAATTTCATTCACAGTTCAAAATTTCTATCACAGTTCAAATCTTTCTTTTTATCATCAGGTGATAAGTGAGGCTTATATGGTAAATTTAATTTGGAATAAAAAAGTATGATAAATTGAGTGAAAGCTATTTTATTGCAAATTTTAAGCAATTAACATTTTTGTTTATATTAATTTTTTCACAAACTATATCGTTATATAGTTTAAAAAAATAGCATGAAATAAATTCAGCAACGTAACCCAGTTTTATGAAATGATTCAAATCCATTTTACCACTAATGAATCTATATCAAAACACTTAAAACAATTTAGGCAGCTGAAAATTTTGAAGTCAAGTGTTCTATTCCAAAAAGCACCAGTTTTGGCTATATAAAAAAATCAGATTTTATTGTTCCGACTTTCAAAGAAATTGACAGAATATTTGTACTCAGGGTCGGTTTTTTTCTCCAGGATTTTGACGTTACTTTTAGATCATACTAAAAATATTGTTACCCTGAGGTCAAATCGAAGAAGATAATTCACTTGAGATCATTTTTCATTAAGTTATGGGGGTTTAAACATTGCCCATTGAGGACAATTAACGAGCGATATTTTTCGTGCTTCTAACTCGTAACGAAAATATAATTCCTCATAAAAATAGTTTCAAACTGAACTGAGGTATGCTATGCAAAATATATTGCTTTTTACTTTAAAAAGCGTGTGGTGGATGATTCTCAAAAAAATCAAACTTAAATTTTTTTCTTTGTTGAAATTTTAAAATTTTTTCATGAAATATTACTCCATATACCTTAAAAGGCAATTGGAACATTCCGGGCTTTGCTTTTTCAGGGGATCGCAGTCGGAACATTCAACCTTGCTAATTTTGTGTGGTTTTGTGCTTGTTTTAGATTAACAATCCTGATTATTGATACACATAAAAAATACATAAATAGTAACGATTTCAACGAGAGGTGTAGAAATAATCTAATCGTTTTACTTTAAGGAAAAGAAAAGCATACATTTTGTGTAAAAATTTGGTACTACTATGATCGGCTGGTCCCTAAAAAAAAGCTTTTATGATAAACAGGATCTGCACATAGTAATTTGACAACTAATTTGTATATAAATTACTCATTTCAATCTCGCAAAATGATTTCAATTAGAAAAATTTTAGATTTAAATTTGTAGTTACTATCGTTGAAATCAAGCAAAATGCTCATTTAACTTAACTTACAAATTAAAAGCCATAATTGCGATACTTACCTATATTCAAAACTCATTTTTGGCAAATTTTTCAAAATAATTTTTAAATTAAAATGATGAAACTGAGGTTATACGAACTCAGTAAATATGAAGCGTTTGAAAACATTTTGGGACATGTTTCTTAAAGACGGTGGCAATCAATAAGCAAAATGGTCTAAGAGCAGAAAAACAGAAATATCAACTTTTATAAACTAATCGGTAAATTAATTATCAGAAATGTCAATAGTACCAACGCAACGAACATTAAATGCATAATTTGAGTAATTTAATCAAGAATTTAAAAAAATTGAATAAAATAATGAAATTAGACAATTCGTGCATAAATTATTCGTTTTCTTGGAATTTTTTACGATTCTATTAATTGTTTTATCAATTAGCCCGTATAAACCAATATAAGTCAACATTTTTCTGTTTTTCAGCTCTTGGACACATTCTGCACTTGGACCATTCTGCTTATTGCTACGCCTCCCTTAAGACCATCTTATAAATGTTAAACAATTTGAGAGCTCTAGGTGCCTATTCTCAATGGACCTGGTTAATTTTAAGGAACCAGCCTATCATAATAGCACCAAATATTTCGTTCTTTTATTGAGCAGCATTTACTCGCCCCTTTCTATTTTGTTTACAAAAACTAACAGGGTTGAGATAAAAAAAAAACGATTTTTACGCAAAAACTCTTACCGGCCTTTTGCAAATAATAAATTAATTGACAGGTTCTAATGTTTTCAAAGCTTGTTAATCTAGTCTGATCTGGTGCTGCTTTGAACAAATTGAACCCGTAATCACCAGTCTTTTAGAGCAAATGATTCACGTTAAAAATTTATTTAGAAATACTGAGATTTTTTGTACTCTGGTCTGTGTTGAGTTAGTTAGGACCAGCGGTGGAACTTTTCAGTAATTTTTGCAATCAAATTGACATTGATTTTAGAAGCTTATGTATGAATATTAACGGGCATTGTGTTTGGGTAAAGTCACTGGCTGGTGATGGGCAAGATAATGGGCCATGTTGGCTTAATGGTGTTCTCCTTCAGCTTAACTGGTGACTTTTCGAGACTCCGTCATGGACTTCGCTACTGACGCTACTCAGTTTTCTAATTGAATACTTCAGTGAAACAAGGATAGCCGGTTACTGTGCAAGTAGCACAGAATGTTCCGACCATAGTCTTAAAAAATAAGAAAACTGATATTTCGAACGGGTTTTTCTCGACAAAGAAATTTTTCTCAAAATTTTTTCATGTCGTTCGAATCACGACTGAAAGATCTGGAATATGATATATCACTCAACTCAACCCAATGATTATTCCTGTTTGATAAAAACAGATATTATGAAAATGTATGGGATCGGGTTTTTTTAATTATTTTTTTAAAATTTATTTTATTTATTGGACGCTTTGGAAATTTTTTTTTACTTTTTCAAAAATAAGTCCTCCCATGGGGAAAGTTTTTGATAATTATTGTAAAGTCGAGGTACCCTTGACATGTAAAAAGGCTGACGAAGCATTCAAGGCGTTGGTCGCGTAATACGAGCAACTTTGTGTTATCTTCGAATCTGCTGTATAATTTTTGGTACCTGAAAGTTAGTCTTTGTTTTGTGAAATAGATCTTTTCCTTTGGCTGAATACAAATTTTTTCACAGCTTATCAGGCCTTGTTTTTAGCATGAGCCCTGTTTGATATGTCTATCTTCTTTAATCCTAAAGTTTTTGATATTGAAAACCAACCAACCCCCCCCCCCCCCACAATTCTGGTTGCCAAAATTTTTCCAAAGGGTCCCCCTTAGCTATAACTTTATGCTATCCATTTTTCGCTGAACATCCTCATAATTGTTCTAAAAGCGCCTTTGGCGCCAACACGACTAATTTTTCTCAAAATAGGGTCCTTATACTACTTAAGAATTGCTCGGAAAATCAAATTGGTCTTAAAAAAAAGGTCGGCCAATTTTACGAAACCCCCCCTCTAGAAAAATTTCAGAGCACGGCCACTGAACCCTACTATTGTAATTTTACCCCAATTTAAATTCCCAGTGCTGAAAACACCTCTACACTTCAATTCTCAAAATAACGAAATCAAATTTTGTTTTTCGCCTTTCATAATCAATTGTCAATCTTCTGACCAAAACCTTAGCTCTTTTTTAAGACTACTTACTCGCAAACTTTGTGAGCTGGCGCATCTTTAGAGTTCCTTTCCCGTTCCTGGTCGACAACAAAGCACAGTCCGTTTCCATTGCAGTGTACAGGCGAACATGAGGCTAGAAAAAACACCAGTTGGTAATTTATTGTTTTTTTTAAACTTTTTTTGTTTATGCAGGATTGTTTGATTGGAAATGTGTATTTTAGTATGTGTATCTGAACAACTGTGTAGCTCTGATTATATTCAATGATAGTCAATAAAACGCAGGGAAAAGTTTATTTTGGCTATCCGGGAAATGTACTCGTCCAAAAATTATCAAAGGTCCAATATTCGAAAATTCACCCGAAACTAAAAATTTTTCGTTATTCAGACGTTTCGGCCCTCTACCGGCCAAAACGAGAGTAAAAATTGGTTATTTCTGAGTTAAAATGTATTCTTCAAAAAAAACCATATAGACGAATTAAGTGCAAACTATCCTTCAATTTCGAATTGATTCAACTTAACTATGGCAAAACTATTGGACCACTAAACTATGGCATGATTAGCTTTCGAAAACTCCAAAAGTGACTTACCAAGATAATTGGCTGATTTGTTAGCTATGGGCGTATACTCGGGCAGATAATTCAGATGTCTCTTTAGAACCCAATCCGGAACATCCTCAAGATCCTTTTCTTTGTCTCCAGAAACACCGCCGATCCCGACAACCACGATTAAGCCCAGTAACATGAGTTTCATTATCGAAGTGCGTAATTTTATGACTTTTTTCATTTTTCGTTTGTTAAAAACCCAACGCTCAGAATGAAGTTTTTACAGAGGTTGAAAAACTTCACTTTATTTGAAAGTTTTTCGCGGAATGCTGATTTTAAATTTGAATGATCTTTCAATTTGACATAAAGATGTCTCCAAATTGCATTTGTGTGGCGATATGCGATGTTGACTTTCTGTATAGTTTTTTTGGCGTGTGACCTTGAATATTGATGTTAGAAAAATCCAGGGACCAAACTGGCTAATTTAACGCTCTCGATTCGTCGAATTTGTTCATATAGTAATGTAGAAAATAGGGTTGAGCTCAATTTCTGGGTAAAAATTGGCAAATGTTATTTAATGAAACGGATTTCAAAATTCGAACCCTTGCTTGTAAAAAAATTGATAAGTAGAAATGCTATTTCAAATTTGCCAAAAAACAATAATTGACTCTCCGATTAAGTTATAAATGAGTTGTACAAATTAACACAAAGAAACTGTGTAATTCAATGGTTTTTGAGAAATTTGTTATAAAGAGATAGTTTACAGAGATAAGAGTTTGAAATATCGGCCAATCAGAATTGAGAAATTAGGAACCTGACTCTGATTGCTGCTAACAAATCCCTCGAATGTCAGGCCACCGAGTTAAACTAATTTTTCTTGGAGATTTTTTGATTTGAACCTTGTTACTTATTGATTTTCTTTCGGCCCAATCATCTGAAAACTGTTTGAGGAACCTTTTTGCGACCTAACACCAACGGCTCCGCCTCGAATTCTTCTGGTTTGGACAAAATATATTTAGAGACAAAGGGCTGCTATTATGTTATCTTACAACAGCTCAGAGAGCATAGAAATTTCTCGTAACTTTTCGAAAGTTTATCAATAAATTAACCATTTTTCAACTATCAAATTAACACAGCAAACGAAATTGGAAAACAATCACGCAAAATGGTCAAATGGTATTTTGATTAAGCTGTAACTTCGTAAAAATTAACAAAACAATAATAAATATAGTATCAAATAATTACAAATAAATGAATTTAATTTCACTTAACGAACCCGCACGCAGAATTACACGCAGCTCATAAAAGGACTGAAATTGCAATCCATAGCTGATAAAAATTCAATCATTAGCACACGCAATATACTTAGCATGGAATGAATGGTTAATTTCACGTGAGATAATTTGTGAAAAGTAATAACTAATAATGGAATATATATTATCTAAGAATTGAGCATGTATTAACAAAATGGGCTAAAATACTGCTCAATAAAAATATATCATTCTATTGTAGGAAATGGGTACGGCTCTCAATTGAAATTCCGTCCCTTGCAATAATACTGAAAGTTTTTAAGACCCACTCTTAAAACTGCTAACTAAACTTTACACGGCCAAAGGGTCCCCTTAAGCAATATTTTGCGACATCCATTTTGGTCGACGAATCCTAAAAGTGTACTAAAGGCGCCTCAGGTGCCAATATGCACAAAACGTGAGAATTTCAAGAATTATTATAGTCAGTAGCGGATTGGGGGGGTTCAGGGAGGGTGGAACCTATCTCATGGATTCGACCCCCTCGCAATCCAAAGAGTCCCCACTTTGATTATTGCACCACATCTATTTTTAGCTCTTCGACCTTAAGATTTTTCTAGAGGCCAAAAAATAATTTTTTGGCCTGTTTTTGACACTTCCTCTGAGGTGCAAATTGAATCTCAAAAAAGGGGTCTTGATAGTGTTTTTGCTTTGAGAGAGATCAGAAACTGAATTTGGTCGAACAAATTAGAAAAAATCTTGATAAATGTTTTTTTTGAGAAAACCGACCTTCTCCACCCGCGAAAATCCCAGATCCGCTTTTGAAGCTTTTTTTTTCAGGGTCCCCATTTTGTACTATTTTGAGATATCCGTTTTGGCTGACTGACCCTGAAGTTTTTCTAAAGCGCCTTCGGCGCTAAAATATACCAATGTTTGGGGAGCGCGCGCCAAAAAAAACATGAGCGCGTGCCGTCAAATTTTCCCAAAAAGTGTCTAAAAATGCCTTTTTTAAACTATTTTTTCAAACATTTGCCTGCAGGGCAGAAAATTTGGTAAAAATGGGTTCTTTCTGGTGTTTTGGGAGAGTTCGGGAAATCAATTTGGTGGACCTAAATGAAAAATTCGATAAAATTTTTGAACATTAAAAAAAAAAATCCGTTTCTCCCTTCAGAAAATCTTAGCTCCGCCCCTGTGACAGACAGTTGTTTTCAAAGTGGCTGGATATTTTTTTTCAAGAAACCGTAGAGTGGGCGGGGTACGCGAAAGGGATTTGTTTCCTTTTTATTGCCTAATCTGCTGTTTCTAGAAATGAGAAATGGCGACCAGAATAGATTTTAATTTCGTCATCATAACGCTTGAATATAGCAAAAGAATTTGAAATACAAATCAAAATCAGTTCTTATGTGGAAAACACGGAAAAATTTTTGCAAAGCAATTTTGCATCCGATAATGGATAGCCTTATACATTTGTTCAAATTTTTGTTTGAAAACCAAAAAACCTGACCAATGCGAGCTTCGAACCTGTGACCATTTTGGTGCGACTAAATTGCTCTTACTTTAAAGCAGTTATATGATTTTACTCTTCTCTAAAGCAAGCCTTTCGAGACTGCGTAGTGCATGGCGTTTCAAGGTGCTTGATTTTCACGAGAATTTCAGAGATTTTCAACGGTTTTGGCCTTATACAAGATATGCACTCAACTTCAGTAGTTTTAAGGGCTGACCTCAACCTAGCATGCAAAATTGATGACGAATAAAAATATTCCACAAACTGAAGATCATGCATTCGGTACCCGAGCTGAGGTGCTCACATTATGTTTTGACCGTCTCGACGAAAAGTTGGTATGTTTCGACCGTGCTCGACGCAAGAAAAATATATTTCGACCGTGTTCGACCGAAAAAATTGTGCTCGGCCGTGCTCGACCCAAGCGAGATATGTTTTGATAGTCTCGAGCGAACTCGGATACGTTTCGACTTTCAAACAACATTCATTATCCAAATTTAAACGTTATACTTTATGCTTTTGCATCATTTGATTTTTTGTCAGAATGAAAAGCAATGATTAAAGTTATTTGCAATTTAAATAATTCGTAGAAATGAACTATTTTTGAGCTATTTTTTTCCATCTTTTGCAATACTCGTTTGCAATTTGATTTAAAAGGTTAAAAAATATATGTTGATATTTGAAACAAATTTTTTTTTTGGACAATGGGTGTTTTTCGAAGGCGCTCGACCGTGCTCGAGGTGTGTTTCGTATCTGTGCTCGACCCAAAACCCTGTCTCAAATGTACCTTTGCGGTCAAGCACTGTCAGTGTACGCGACTTTGAAAATCGAAACATAAAGTCTGCACCTCGATCCTGGTAACGACTTTCAATGTTATTGGATAACTATTTTTGAAAATTGGTCTCGGAGCGACGTTGAAACGAACGATAGATCTGACCCAACCATTAGTTCTAGAAATCGGAGTATAAAGAAAAGTGACTTCTGTTTCTGAGATTCAGCTGAGAACGGATCTAATTGAGACATTGAGAAACTTCTATTCGACCACTGCATGATTTTTTGGCCATATATTTTGTTCTAAAATGACAATATTTCGAAATAAGAATCAGCAAGTGTCTGGTTCGGCAATTTGTCCTCCCGCCATTATAAAAAATCGCAAAAAGCGTTGATTCCAATCCAACAATGAAAGTGCACAAAGAAGCCTCCAATATTTGCAGATACTAAACACTTGTGCTCTCAGAATTGAATTGACACGAACAAAAGTTTTTGTAGCTCATCATGACAAAAGAAATTTTTTTTTAAAGATTCTGTTGGTGAAAATTGTGGCACTCTTACCAATCATTAACTTCTTACGGTTTTACAACGGGTGATGCGGAATATGCCTTTTGCGGTCCAACAAATTTCTGAGTCGTGAGGTCGTGACAGGATTTTAAAAAAGTTACGTAATAACCGTTCTTACGTTTCTAAAGACAAGACTCGGGGCAAGGCAACAATGCCGAAGTACAACAGTGCCAAAAAAGAAAGCATTTGAACAGTACCAAAAAAAAGAAAAAAAACACTTTAGAAAGCTTGAATTACCGTTTATAACAGATTATACATGTTTTCCAATAATATCTTTGTTTCGATTTTTCGATGCTTATGATCGCTTCAATGTCTATAATTGCTGCTGTTTTTTTTCTGATATTTTCTTAACTTTATGTGGAATTTTTCCAGTATGAAAATATTTCATTGCAAACTTCGACATTTTTCTTCTTGCTTCAGTTTTCGAATCAAAGCTCAAAAACTTGGCTGGAATCGACCTATTTTTTGTTTCATACATTATGCCCACTTTCAAAACTGTTTGTGTTGGTGAGTGAAGCTGGTCTTTCATACAAGTTCCGCCTATTGTAATGCATATTGTCCATTGAGCCAAGTTTTTTCAACACACTCAAAAAAAATTTGAAATTCCGTAGTTAATTACCAGCGAAATAGGTTTTTTCCGGTCACGATAGGTTCCAGTGTAGTTTGTTCTCACCGAGCTGAAAGGCAAAAAAAACAAGGCAATTTAAATAATCGCTGCATTCTTTTGCGAAGTTTTTGTTTTTGCCGATACTCAATTGGTAGATCAAAGTTTTGAACTTTTTTGAAAACAGTTTGACAGCAATGGAAAAGACAACCCAAATGCTGAGCTTCGGGGAAAAATTCGCAAACTGCTGCGGTAAAGCCTTTTTGGCAATCAGTAAGAAAAACTAAAGGTAGATTTGGTTCCAATTTTTCACTTTTCAGTACGAGAACACTCACAAAAAATTTGTAAGGTTCTTTTGACTTGTTTGAAAGGAAAGCAAAAACCAAGGAAATTTTTTGGTGTTTCAAAAAAACGTAAAAACTTGAATGATTGACTCTGGCAATGTTTTCAAAGTTCCATCGACCAAAATTGTATCGCAATACGCAAGCTTTTTTAAAGTTGCCATGACAACTGGCCCAAATTCTACCTTATTTTTTGAGACAAAATTGATTTCCATCTTTGATTCCGACTTAGAAAAAAAGTGATTTTGGCCCCTCAAATTGGAAAAAAATTTCATCTGACCCTCTTTGCGGCATCCCAGATAGCTGTTTTTTATGATCAAAACATATACAATTTGGAATATTCTAAAAAAATTTTGTCAGTTTTGGAATTTTTTTTTGTACACACTTAATTATTTTGAACATATTTCTGGAGAGCTAATTTCTGACAACTAACAAAATTTTTTGGCAAAATTCTGCAGATTTTATGCGTTCGCTGAATAGCTGTGAATAGCTGGAATATTAGTAACTTTGCTCAAATTGTTATCAAGGGTGGTTGTTGCCACAATTTTTCTCTACGCAAATGTAAATATTTTTTTTCATTGTTTTGTTTTTTTTTCTGTAGCGGTAGCCCGTAATTTTGAAGTTTTGGGAACCAGCCCTTTTTGAAGGCAAAATTATGAATAGGAAAAGTGCGGCAATCACCGATTGAAGGGCGATCAACAACAATCTTAAGTGACACTTTAATTTTTTGAGCAAGAAATTTTACAACTTAGACAATTTGGCACCAAATAACTGTTTAATTTGAAGCAGCAGACTTTTTGGCGCCAAAACAGGAGTGAAAGTCTTTGTTAGTTAGCACAGTAATTTCCTGCTCTTTCCTCCTTAGAAAATGGGTTATATTATTCTGAAATGATCCTACCTCTTTCGACACTGTTGAACGCCCCTCCCCAAAAAAACTCTCATACTGATCATTGGATTCTGAAATTTTTGTTATGTATTTGAGGGAGTTAAACTAAACTAACGTCGCCTAAATCTCCTTTAAGTGAAAGAATTTATCCTCAGAAAGAAAATTTTTAAACTAAAAAACTGGTATCATCATTACTTCGGAAGAACTGAGAGACTTCTGGGAACTTTTGTCACATGCGGTATGCAGATCAGCTAGTTCAAATGTTTGTTCTTATCTTCAAAATATCTTTCAAATGTAAATTCCAAAGCTTCATTTGGAGAAGGGCAACAACAAAAATTGTATTTTTTCTAAATCTATACGAACGTCTTGTTAGCTTTAAACGCATTTGATTCAAAATGATCAAGACGTTTGCATAGTTTCTTT